AGTGGAAATTATATTCCCTCTTATACTCCTTAAGACAATCATTAGCTTCTGAAATCTCAGTATAAGCTTTTCATCAGCGTTTATTTCTGATCATGGTATTGTTTTTATGGACTGTTTCGTAATCACCTTGATTAAATCCTAAATCGTTGCTGTTCTGGAAAGCAAAATTATGCTTTTTCTTTCGTTGTTTTATACACATTTCTGGTCTAGGTAGCGCTGATGAGGGTTATTGTAAGTAACCACTATTGCAAATAATGAAAACACCTGTGTGTGTTTTTGTATCATGCACTCCTCTCTTGTTACCTGTAGGTAATTAGGCATTGCAACCTAATAATCTGGACGTTGCATGTGGGAATTTGGTGACAATTTATGGCAGTGTTTGCGGTTATGTCTTAATTAGTCGCAAGTTGGACAGAGGCCTTAGTGCTAAATTTGGTTTTTGTGCTGTTTTTCCATCATTGTGCATCATTGAGCTGCTTGCACCAGCTAGGTCTTTTAAAGTTGTTTTTTAGCGATTCTGCCTGGCAGAATCGCCTCGGAATAGTATTTGGTTTTGCTCCTCAACGCTATCATCACGTTGGCTGTCAAGGCCCACATCATGTCTTTTGCTAAACTAAAAAACTTACTACGGAAGGATTTTCTTCGAATGTGCCACAAAACGACTGGTAACAAACTAAACTTTTGCGCCGAAGGAGACTAATTTAGGATTCGGCAAGTAATCATACTTAAAATAAAATCATTTTGGGGAATTTGTTTCCCCGAGAGACGTACTATTTCACTCGAGAATCTGGTCATGAATAGACACATGTACAGAGGAAATTCATCAGCGACTGGATTTAATCTGAGCACCATGAATGCCGTGAATGTAACTTCGTACGTGCCATCTATATTTATAAAAGCCGTAAGCTGGTGCCGGTTTAACTTTTTATGCTGATTTGACGTAATGATTAAATACAGCTGAAGACTGGGAAAACGATGGTGAGTACTGGTTTTACACGAATGCCTTTTAGATCGATAAGTATGTTTCTAGCTCAGTTTTGTTACCTACAGATCAGTACCGCAAGTTGGCTGCAAACCTAAAACATCATGGATGATTGGTTGCTGTGAATCCCTTTTGTAGAACCAAGCAATTAAAACGTCTTTCTCCTGCGTCTCGTTCATACACTATTGCTTTTTAGCCTGAAGTTTTCCCGATCCAGTTGTACCCTACAGCTCCATGAGCTCACATGAATTTGTTCAATTCTGTGTAAAAAATTATCCTGTTGTAATAGGTGCTTTGCCGATCATCAGGTGTAATTATATGATGTACAAGGTAAACAGCTACATTAATGCGTGAAACTGTTTGTACTACGCTACAATGCACAACACTAATGACCTCTACGTATGTCATCAGTATGGGAGCTAAAAGATTCTCGTCGAGGATGTTTCTTTTTCATTTCATTAGTTGGGCATTTCACGGTAGCCAGTGGCCAGTGACATACGTTGTAAAATAGTGTGATGCGAAACAGCAAGAATTTCGTCTGATTTAGTTAAAGGATCATGAAAATCATTGCATTCTGAGGAAAATCTAAAGGAACCCGAATTTTTTATGAAAATTAGCGACAAAGTAGATGCAAGCACAACGTTGACTAGTTAGGGTGATTTTATTATAGTAATTGCGCTCGGCTCAAATTTAAACAAATGTCTTTATTTTTAGTGGATTTTATTATCAATGAAATTAATTATTCTTCCAGTTGCATGTGAAATTACCAAGGGTTCAGCTGTTTCCCAATAGCTTTTTCTTGAAACAAAAGAGATAGTGTTCAGGTTGTATTTCCTATCCGTTTTATTCAAAATTACCCAATTTTTCAATACTACCACAAAAACCGCGCTTTGGCTACTCAAGAGAGCAATTCCTGCTATTTTTGAGATAAAAAGGTTTTAATTGTGCTACAGTATCCAAAATGTCTGGTAGTTGTGTCCCACTGTCACAGCTCTTCCAGTCAAATTGAGTTTGTCCATTTTTCTTCCCTGCCATTGTGGTGCAAGCATGCATATGAGATGGTTTTGTTTGTCAAAAAATACTACATTATTTTATATATCGTATTGCCGGAAAAAGAACTTGATTCTTCCACAAGGATTTCTTTACAATGAAACTCTGTATAAGTGACCCGTGTTCTGATGAAACTTCTGTTTTTGGCTGGCCGCTCTACCTCATATTTGTAGATAAGACTGTATTTGGTAAGAAGTTTATTTATGATGTTGCGCTTCTGATGAATTTTTGATACCAACTTTGTATAAAATTTCGGATGTTTTCAATGAAGAATTGGGAAACTCGCAAATCAGTAATCTATAATAGTTAGGAATGAACCTGATTTTTTCTCCGTTCGTGGAAGTACATCGAGAGTTAAAAAGCTATTTCACTTCCGCCCCACGAATTTCATCAATTGAAATTACTCGTTTAAACAATTTGATGCTGCTGAGCTACTGGACAGTTCTATCCTTTCAAATAAGACCCAACAAGGGTGGTTGTGGTAATTTTTAAAATGGTGAGCTTTTTGTTACTAAGTGTTGAGTGTTTAGGTATGTAGCTTTTAGGCAAGACTTGTCAAATCAGAATGAAATGATTAAGAATTTTGGTGGGGCTCTTAAACTATTTTTTCAAAAACTTATTGCTGATTCCACTGTTTCTGTAAATTAGAATTTTCGCACACTGTGGTATGCTGCGGAATTTCAACAGTGCGGAATTGTTAGGCAAGTGAATTTAGCGTCTACGAGACTCATATTATTCTCAAATTGCCAACCATAGGTTTACGGTCATGTATTTTTTTTCTACAACACACTTTAATACCTGAATGCTTAGTTTCCCCCCCCCTCGAAAAACAGAAAGTATACGGATGTAAAATTTCCGGTTTTCTCCAGCTCATTAATCCACTTATTGGGTCATCTTTAAAATGCAGATCAGTTCGAGTTTTCGGCTTTTACTCTTTTTCACTCTTCAGGTTTTACCGTAAGGCTGGAGTCCTACAATACTGGAAGTTGGGTGGATTATTTCAAGTCATGGGGTCTGACTCGATTCAGCAACTATGATTTGTGCAACGGAGTGAGTAATATATTTTGCCTTAATTTAATTGCGCAAGCTAAAAATTGACCAATGCAGGGACTGCTGAAAGTTTAACAATTTACAGGAGACTTACAAACTAAAATGTTGAATCTCATCGCGTTCAATCCTTTCTGGGAGTAAACAACTTACACAGGAAGTTTCGTGAACGAAATATCATTTTCGAAAAATGCCTTAAGCATTATTATTCACATACAATTCATTGTATTCTGACTTTTTCACAAACAAATCAGGTGACTCGTATTTTTTCTCATAAATATTTCTAGCACAGTAACACTGACACCAATTTTTAACAACAGTGTTGCTCTTGGCACTTTAAGTCGCTTGTTTTGTTTATTCATAACCAACCCACCAGTTTTTAAAAACTTCGTTTCAGCCCACTTTGTGTGCCATTCCTCCGTTTTGTGCCTCGAGTAGTGGGCAAGAATTAAATATCAAATGGAAAAACATTCATGTATTAATCACGTTACATTTAGTTTGTCCGAACTGCGTTTTTGCTTTGTAGCTGGAATTAGAATTTGAGGAACAATAGAGTTTGAAATCTGAAATTATTTTTTGAAAGAGAAATTTGTTCCACATTCATGTTTTTAGCGCAAACAAACTTCAACCTATGTTACTACATTTATGTAGCAAGCAATATTTACTCCTTGGGACCTAAATTTAGTGCAAAATATCAGGAAACTGAATAAATGAGTTTGGGATTTTTGAAGAAATTACTAATAGGGGCGGTTGGCTCGGAAAACGTTTTGGCACCTAACCTGCAGAATACGGTTCTCTTTTGTCCGTGAGAGGTAAAATTTCTCTACGTTAAGCTTTACTCATAGTGTGTATATAACTGCAAGTGTGAAGATCATTAATTGTAATAATAATAAACCTGTATCAATTAACAACACCCTGGAATTTTGAGAACTGCGTTTCGAATTTGAATGGTTATTTAACGACCGAACAATTTCTTATATTTTAAAATGTTGCATTCTAGAATGCTGTACCAGAAAAATAAAATCCAGTTTGGTCGTACCCTAAACATACTAGCAGTGTTTAGAATTGTTTGTTTGTTCTTATTGCACGAAGTATTTTTATTTGATACTGATATGATATATTAAAAGGTCTGCATCATTCAGATGTGAGGAAATTACAAATTACAATTGTTTGAAAATACATTTTTGACAAATCACAGAAATTTGCGGTAGACACTGGCGTTCCTGTACAAAAATTTAATTGATGTCAAAAGTTGTTCTTTTATTAGTCAATTTTCGGACGATACATTTGCCTGGTACCTCCTAGCTTGGTTTCTTCATACCAAATTCAAATGGTCCTAAATCCACTAATTTGCGACGATGAGCGCGAATATCTCCAGTGAAAATCATTGCGTTGGTTCTCACTTATACAAAAGTGCTGTTAGCTGTTGTGGGGCTCAGCGGTTTACGGTCTTATTCATCTTTGGAAGTACAGATTCGAGATGAAGTGATTTTGTTTTTGAGGCCGTTCTGAAACGCAACACGATCCGGTACATCAAAGCGTCTTTTCGGTTTTTCCTTTTGGGCAAGACATTTTTGTCACTTTGCTAAGAATACATGAGTGTAGTGGGAAACGTATTCACCTCCGAACAGTTTTATATTGCCTGTGGTCGAAAAGTGAATTTTACGAGTCGCTCTTCACTGTTAATATGTGGCAACTGGGAGAAACCCAATCATCCATACTTCGTAGCATTTACAAACCATGATCACTCACTTCATTCACTTATATAAACTTGCTACCCTATAGAAATTGCTCTTAATATTGAGAACAGCTCGAGTGATTTAAGGCAAATGTTTTTTTTTTGACAGCGACATCCGGCGAGGGCAAGAAAGGCCTATACTGAACCTATCAGTTCAGTCGCAAATGTCAAGAATAAACTTACTTGATGGTTGTTGCAGAAGATTGAAAAGAGGGTGTGGTTTCCTCCATGAAGACCAATAGGATGTGTGCAGTTGGGTGTTTTGGGATCTGCTATAAGGTAATAGGATTTTAGAGTGGGCTACTGACCTGCTATTATGCAATACAAATTGCGTGCAGTGAAAAACCGAGTCTTCTCAGTAAACATTCTCTAATTAGGCTTAACAGCTGGTCTAGTAGAAAAGCTTTGGGACACTTGACATGTGGCCCAACATGAGGCCGATTGAAAGCAATAATTAAGACATTGTCTGTGAATGCTGAATACCGAATAACTGTTTTCAAACATCTGCTGTAATTTCATCTGCCTGGTCAACCAGTGCGCGGATTTTCGATCTTTGTTAGCTCTATGTCGAAAAGAGGAACTTGGAGATTGTTCATTCCTGATTATTACGTTTCGAAAAAAGGACATTTGAAACCAACTTGTTGGTAACTTTAACATAACCACACAGCCCACACAACTACAGTCGATAATGACAAGTGACTAATATAATCTTGACTAGAAACTATGTCAGATAGCCGACTGGAATTTAAGTGCGTCGTGTTTTAAAAGGTTTCCACAAACATCTATCTGAATCATCAGACTGTCGAAATATTTTTCAGTTTTCAAGTGGTCGGCATTTGATATTTTGTAAGATGAATTTTTGTTTGCTTCCTTGATTTTTTTATCAAGATGAGACAGGTAGCGGAGAAAGCGAGCACATTTCACGAACTCCAACTGGCATTCTGTCGCACACCCTTAACTTCGGTCAAAGAAATGGATTCATTTGACGAACTCAGCTTATATTTTCTCACAAGCAGCCTGCGAGCAAATCGAGCCTTATGTTTTAGCCGTTTGGCTCTTGAACTGCAAAACATATTCAACATCCGTCCTGTCGGAAATATCCACTCAAGCAAAGTGAGAGTCCAAGGTGGGTAACGTCATTGAAATATTAGCTGATTGTCTGATAAGTCTCAGTAGCCAGAGAATGTGCTCTGACCTTCCGAAGTTTTGCATGTTCTCTTTTATCTCTCATAAACTGTCCCCAGTAACTTTAGAATTATAAAAAGCCATCGGTAATTGACCGATGATTAGCCGGTGTCACAAAAAGAACAAAATGCACTACGTAACAGAACGCGTCATGATTCTTACTGGGATTCCTTTAGTGGCTACCTAGTTTGAATGGACACATCATTTATACCTATGGATTTGTGGCCATCAGATAATTTATGTTGAGCGAATAGAGCAGTTTAATCACCCCACACATGTTAAGAATAATTTCAACGTCTGTACCTATAAGGAAACAGTAAACCTTCGGATACGAGCCTTCGTCCAAATAGTTGCTGTTTCGTCAAGACAATCATGCTACTCGGATTGTCTCACCCAAGCAAGCTTTAGAATTCATGAAAAAACCTTCGCCTCATAAACCCTAAACGCGTATGTTGATAGGTGGACCTCCGACTGATTATTTGTATGAGGCCTTACCACCAGTAACAGCTTAGGCGTGGCTACGATTCGAACAACCTAGTACAAAATCATATTTGTGCTATTTTTAAAGGTTGCCTAGGCTGGTTCCCGTTACCTTCCGCACATCTACGTTAGTGCTAGTACTGTGTAATAATAAAACAAAGAAGCGCTGGCTACTGACCACCAATTTTGTTGTAACAAACTGAGTCTTTTGGGGCTTCAGTAGTCATACTTACAGTATCGGGAGCCACAAATAATTATGTTTAATTTTTTGCTTTCACTTATGAATCTTACCGGCTGTGGAATAACAAGACAACTTTTCAAAAATTTCAACCGACCACCCACTAATTGTGCGCTCTAAGTTTTGACTTCACAGAGCTCGAAATATACGGACCAGTAGATGATTTGCTAGTGTAAAGGATGAAAAATAACCATGTTATGGTTATGGCTGGTTGTCCAGTTTAAATCAATGGTTGCCCGATACTCAAGTTGTGCGTGGAAAAAGACTCCATGTTTTTTAGAGAACACGTCAGTTTCAGTATATTTCTTGCAGCAGTTTATTCCGTTTTTTGAATGATCTGTATACAATAGTGATTGCGCAGTTCGCGCTTATGACTCCCACGACTGACCATAATATCTCCATGTATGGTTTCTTTCTTGGACAAGAATAATAAGTTGCTATTTGTTATTGTTAGTTGTTTTTCTCGTTATCTCGTTGGGGCAGAAAAACTAACCAATCAAACATAGGTACCATAGAAAATTTGTATCCAACAGAGTCGGTGTCACAATTAGGTTCCCGTTGTTGGAAGTAGTTGAACTCACTAGGAGTAAATAATCTTCTATTGCAAACGGGACAACAGAAGTGCTTTGCCATAGATACTTACGCTTAGAACTATCCACAAAAGGGATATATTTTGTTATATTTTGTATATTTTGTTGATTGTTTTGCATTTCAGTGGCTAACGCTTTGGTGGCAAAAGGTAGGCGCTTTGTGTTTGAGGGTGTGTGTAGAGAGTATGAAGCAGATCTGTTGATATTATGGTTCGGTTGACTAGAAGGAAGCAGGCTTGAACTGACACCTTCAGATTTTTAATTCTTAATAGTGAGAATGCGTTAAAAGGATTTCCACCAGACAGGACAAACAAATTGTTCCAATTGTCTTCGGCGTTGCTATTTTTGTTACTGCCAATATTACTACCACTGCTTAGATGATAGTTACTTATTTGTTGAACTTCTCTAGACAAGAGTGAAAGAACGGCGTGCTGAAATTTTTTTCCTTCTCCTAACCAGACACCTTTACTTCATATGCTTGAACATGGACTAAGATTCAGGAACTGTAACGTGATCGTCCAACTGGCGAGTAATATGTTTGATCCACTGTGAACCAACTTATTTTGATCAGTTGGTGGGCTTCATTTGGTCTGTCGTACATGCAATCACTATCAGTGGCCACATAATTGATTTTGATTTAGTAAAATCTATTGAATTTCGGGAGCACCCGGCATAGGATTTTTGAAATGTTGAATGTGCAATTTGGAATATTTCATTGTCGTTGCAAAATGTTAACTCCTCAGAAGTGAACCCATGATGCGGATGTTTTATCAAGTTCTTTTGAAGTTCGAAGCACAGACGTCAGCACTGCCACAAATGAGCTCTAGTAGGAGAGGACTGAGTCCAGTGTTTCTCTTTGTTGTGGATTCAACAGAATGACAGCGTCAGTACGGTATAAAATTTGTGCGAAATAAACTTAAAAGTCCATCCTTAGTGATTACGCTTTTTCAAGAGAAGGAAGCACATAAATTTTTTCTGTTGTTATCCACAAACTAATGGAAAATGTTTTTCTCACAAGAGCATATGTGCTACCGGGCGATGGCCGTTTTATAATAGTTCTCTTGTGACCAGTACGTCTGATTGGCTTGTTTAAGGATTAACCCTGAGTCCCCTCGCCATAAAATAAGCTTGTGCTTTTAAACTGCTTCAGTTGAAATATATCCTTAGTCAATTAACTTACCGCTATGCTATTTCAAGTATTCTAAGCAAGTAAGCACTTAGCAGAATACACTTATTTGCCAACAAATTTGGTTTTGCGAGTGACTCACCTGAAACGTAGTTGAATCTCGGTTGTGATTTTTCCAGGCAACTGAATGTGCTGCACCAGGCCGCCTCATGTTTCAGCTGCTACGATATTCGAGATATCGCGATACATATAAATTTCAGCAACCTTATGAGTAGTGCATTACAGGGAAGAACTATTCATCTTCTGGCAGTACAAGTTTTTCAATAAATATGGACTAATCTTGAGGGCTCTAGAGAGCTCTCGGGACATTTGTTTTCTCATAGTGCAGCCCGGTCTAAATTTTCATCAAACACATAAAACATATGACAGCTTGTACAATTCTCGAGTGAGTCGCACTCGAACGAAGATTTCAGATTTAATTCTGTCTAAATCGAAAGGACAGTATGCCGTCCTATGGAAATGAAGTTATCCTCAATTATTTTAAATGACCCTTTTTAATTCAGTTGCGGAAATTAGTGCATTGCCTCACTCCTAGATATGGGTTGCAAAATGATATAAGGATTTGACACTTGTAGCCTCCGAGTCTCTCGCCAGTCTAAATTCTTTTTATCCAAAAGAGACAATGTTGCAAAAGCATGGAAAGTCTAGAGATGCCGATACTGTTTGGGAAGAAGATAGGAGCTTTCAAATTGCGGTGAGTTTTCAGGTACTGTTCTATAAGAATTCTAACACTAGCAACACCATTTTGGTAATCATTTTCAATATGATCTGATAAACGGCAAATCACAACATCCTATGGGCCGATATTCATTTTAGGTTAAACAGTTTATAATTATGTCGCGTCCATGAAGCTATTTCAAGTAGTAGGATAACTTTATGAAAATGCATACAGACAAAACATTAGGGAAATTTTATTTCTTCCAGCACAAAAGCTAATGAAATTTTGAATGTTGGCTGTTTTTATGGGATACTCAGCAATTTACTAGCCACTTCGGAAATCTCATTTTTCCCAGTTCTTTATCACGTAATCCACTGATTTCACATGGGTACAAGAACTATATCTAAATTTGCTTTGGAGAAACCATCTGAGTCATCCGCCCCAATAAATACACATCCGGTTGTGAAATTTAGAATGTCGCTGGAGGTTTCTGTGCAAAAATAACAAGATACTATTGGGTGTATCATAAGTGGATTTCATTATTGCAGTTTAGAACTAAAATATAAACTACTACCAAAATATTTGGCCAGAGCTGGTCCAGTAAAATATGGTAAGAAAATAACAAAAAAACAAAATAACAAAATGTTGTGAGAAATGAGGTCCCTGTGTTTGAGCTTGTATTTATTGCTACGGGAAGTAACGTACATTATTTCTACCTGCGGTTAAAGCTTCAAAAACATAAACATACATCCAAATGCAACGCATTTTCTGTAGAGTTAAACGGTTTCAAAACTAGCTGCACATCCTTTATTTGGAGCTAAAGTTCTTGAAAGTAGGTTCTTGTAAAATTATTTTGCCCAATGGGCTGAGAAACCACGTTGTGATAACTCTTCTTCCGTATACTTAGAATTAATAAACACTTATTATGTTGCACATACTGCAATGTGGCACATACAGTGGCTAAATGCCGGGCAACATCGAATCTAGAATAAAGCAGCCAATGCTTAACCATCGTGAACTAATTGGTAGGAGGCAAGACACTTCGGGATATCTTCATTCTGCCGTTTTTTTTATGGGGCAGCAATACAGTATTTTGTGGCTCTGCAACATATGGTTTAGTGAAACGAACGTTTAACTCTAAAACTACAAAATAACATCTTAGTTGGCGTTTGCGACTAAAACTGCCAGTCCCAATTTTCCCCCGAATACACAATGCTCCACTCCATATCTTCTCACATGTTTCCAAAAATGTCTAAACAGGGCCTGACAGTAATTACATTAATTAAGTTGAATGGGCTTATCTTTCATCTTTTTCATAGCTTCACAATGCACTTCCTCAAAGCCGAAAACCAATAGCAATCTATAGTGCAACCCTGGAGGAGTTACCCAGCTCCACTTATGTTGTCGTTTTTGAGAACAGTCTGCCTCCATTAGAAAATCCTTTCGGAACGGTTGGAGATTATGAGGTTACCGGTAAGCTTTTGTATTTTCAAGGCGTTTGGACAATGCATGTGTTAGCTTCAGTTCATATTGTCAAAACTGTTTTCTGCTTTGCAACATATGGTCCAGCTCAGTGCAAATGACATTGTAGCTGGTGAAGTCATGTCAAATTTTAGCAGCTGCGCTATCCCTTTGGACTATCAGCAGGGTCTAAAATACTTGGGGTGATTATTTTTGCCGATATAACTGCGTTGGTCTGGTAGCACTAATAAAGTTCAGGGAGTCAATAGGAGTGCTTTGTCAACATGGACATTGTCGAATCGTGCTAGCGGGACGCCTTAGTGCGTGTGGATTGTCCACAACTCCTTGTAGGAATTCATTGTAGCTAGCTTTGCGTACTTGGATCCGTGTAACTATTTTTAGAAGTATCAATGGATAACCAGCCGATATTATGCCTATTCTGCTTTCGTTTGCTTACTACCTTACCATAAACTGTGAATCCGTTACAGAGTTCAATGAGATAGGCAGCAGCAAAAGCATTTTTCCGCCCCTACACTTGTTGTTCTGTACTCACTCTTAGCGGCACTGAGAGGATGTTTGCATGTAAACTAGTTGTGAACAAGAAACAAAGTAGGGCTGTGAACAAAAACAGGGAAACTTTAAACTGAACAATCGAGAAGATAAACTGGTTACAGCTAAAAACGAAATATCAAAATGTGTTTTCGGATTTCGGTAAACGCTGTCAGTCGCAACCCCTTCTGCTTGCCGGATCAAAAGAGACTAAAAATATAGGCCACGTTTGGGTTTGTGCAAAGTTGCATGCAACCCGGCCATTTTGCACAGCCAAAAGCTATGCACAGGGTGTGAACTCAGCCATAGCCAGCTACTGGCTTGCGGATAATCTGGTTATTGGTGAATTGTCGCCACAGCCAAAGCTATGCACAGGGTGTGAACTCAGCCATAGCCAGCTACTGGCTTGCGGATAATCTGGTTATTGGTGAATTGTCGCAAATCCCATTAGCACATTCCTTGGTTGTCAAGTTATTTTAGGCCATTTTTGCTTGAAGTTTCAATAGACATTTTGACCAAACAGATGTGTGGTGACTAGCCCCGGGGTAAAAGGCTGCGGAATCCCCTTTCTGGTCAACTGAACAAAGCGAAATGTAGTGCTTGATTCAGAAGCGAATCCAATGACACTGGCTATTATGGCTGATTTGAATTCTTATTGTTCCCAAGAACTTCCCGGCAGACTGTATCCTTTTTGATGCCTAAATACAAACGTATATTCCAGGTGCAACTGGGACCACTGATTTGTAATTAATGGCTTCCATCAGGAATAAGTAATCGAGAACACTGAGAAAAGATTTGAAATCCTTTACAACAAAGAGGGGAATGTAGATTGGTCAATTCTTAAGTATCTAAAAGTGAATTTAAACATTATAAGATTGGACACTCGAAAACGGATTGAAAAACACGCTGTTCTTGTAGATTCCCTAAATCGTTTTGTAGCCATAAATCGCAAGTACGCTAAACACATAAAGTTAGTGAATCACATAACTCCATCAGATCACGTTTTGAAACTTTATTTGTAAAGGTTGGTGGCAATCTGAAGGACTAACCATCAAGAAGGGTAAGTTTGCAGAGGGGAAAACTTATTTCTAATTGACTGTGCCAGTCCTCATTGTAAATGCGGAACTACAACTATGCAATCCCGTTTAATTCCAGGGCATCCGAGGATGATTGCACAGGTTTGTGACGCAGACGGGAACGTCACTATGACCAGTAAGCAGAACACTTCGGTTATTTCTATTTATCTTTGAAAAATTTTACACGATCATTTCCCGCGGAACCTAATGACCTGGATTATGTTACCTATAGTCTTCGGAATTTCCTTAATTCAAAGTTAAATGATGTCTTCAAGAATACCTTCTGGCTGCTTTGGGAGCTAACGGTGATGACCATGAGCCAAATTGTTTGAAACCGTTCGGCGTTTTTGTTTTTATCTCACTTATAATCTGGTCGGCATTGTTAATGCTTATTCGAATGACAAACATACTGTGGCTTTGAGTTTGGAAACGGTCGCCGACAAATTCAACTCATCCTAGGCTGACAAAGTTATATTTGGAAGGAGTTTACATTTAACGAGGTAAAAAAAACTAAAACCGATGTAGACAATGTTGGTAGTGAGGAGATTTGGGATTTTTGTGGTTATTTCATCCTGCAAGTGAAGCCAATCTATGCTGAAAAGCCGAGAATCACTGTACAGCTGTTTCATCCTTATTGGGAATCATCAGCAGTGCGCATCTCACGAAACTCCGAAGAGTCTCGAAACCGCGACCTCCCGGCTAGTAGTTTGAACACCTAACCGTTCGGCCACGAGTGGCTGATCAGCAGTGTGATTAACTCGCACTTAGACAGGATATAGCGCCACTCATCCTTCAATCATGGGATACACATCACATGTCACACATGTTGACTGGCTCCTCGAGCAACGACAATTATTTGCTTATCGTGAATATCTAAGAAACCTGTGTTGATGTAACGAAGAATCAAAATGACTTCGGTCATCAAAGGCTCCACAGTTACCATAACGAACAAGTTTCTGCGTTACATATTTGTGGTCAAATCAGGATATGATTTGATTGCTGATATCATCATCATCATCATCGACAGCATGACATCAGTGTTCAACACCGATGCTTCACTGCCGTACAACCATGACTTATTTGAAAGCCTTATTGTA